GGATAAAAAAAAATTATATTATTTAACGTTAAGAAATATTTAAACTTTATCAGTCTTGAGCGTTTAACGTTACAAGTCCCGGGTATCAGGCACTAATAAAATACCTAGTTATACGAATTACGCGATGAAGCGATAAAAAATAATAAATTAAACATAACGTTTTCTCAAGCCTTTGCTTTGAGTTCATTTTTCTAAAGAATTAAGCTGTTATGCATAGAAATAGTTTTCCAAGAACCTTCTACACAGTTTGTACAAAGAGAGAGAAAAAAACTCGGTAATTAAGGTTGGCGTTAAGTTTTTGATTATCATAACATTTATTCAGTTTAATTCAAGTCAAAACCCTTTGAAGTTTGAAATTGCGCTAATTGGATAGCTGTTAGAATTCATGGACCATATAATTTTAACACACTAGAAATCTAGTGATCGTTTTTATTATGACCTACAACCTGCGTTTGTCTTTATGGAAATAATATCATTATAATTTACATTTATCTCACTTTGGGTGTCAATGAAGACCAAGTAAGCAACAACTATACTTTTGGTTAAATTATAGACACAAATGATGGTGAACATGTGAATTTTTAGCAAGTTTTTTTAGTTTTCTCCTACCACTCAAAAATGAAATTATTTTAAATCAAAAAAATTTCAAATCAGAAAATAATTTTTCTGTAGATTATGCCGAAAACCTTTTGTTGTTATTTTTAATGATGTGGCCATATAATTTCTTATGTTAGTACTGTTTTACTAACAAAACATTACATTTTGTTTTCAAACACATTTTGAATATTTTCGGAATTTTCAAAATATTACTTTTGCTTTGGTGCTTATATAATAATTGCCATTACTAGGCCTAAAAAGTTAATGCAAATTGGTCTTTTTAATAATTATAGCAAACAATTGTTTATTTAGATCGAGTTCCCGGTTTTCGGGTTTTGGTTTTAGATTGGGAAACGGTTTTTGGACTTTTCTGGCCTAGAAGCGGTTGTATAAGTTTAAGGGTTACTTAATTTTTGGTGCAGTTTTAACGAAACTAAATTTTCAAATAACTTTTCACTCTTCAAAATTTGATTTTTTTTAAATATACGCTATACGTGTACGTATAAGCCTAACCAATCCGAGTGAATATCATCGAAGACCATTTCCCTTATCTTCTCAGCTATTAGTAAGTAACTCAGTCCCGCGGTTGTAGGTATTTTACGAGGCATTGGTGGGAGCATTTTGAAAATTGGGAACAGAAAGTCGCGCGTTTGATTCACGCGGCCGCCTCGAAGATTTTGCTCTAATACAATTTCTTAGAAAAGCGGCACTTGCCGAATTCTCCGACGAAAAATAACACGGGTTTAGAGTATATAGACTTAATTAAATAATGATATTAGTACGATTATTAAAATATTCTGTGTTTGATGACCGATAAATTAAATAAAATTACGAAAACATTATGTTTGATAAGAATTTACTGTCAATTACAAACAATTACTTATTGTTATATTGTAACACTAAAGGAAAACGTTTGTTTTGATGGCGTGGAAGTCTGTGATAAATTAATAAAAACCCACATCATGCATTTAGACCTACACTCCCTAAAGCGGCATTAATAGTTACACTATAAGACCTGCCTTTGGGCCAAATTTCACGTTTCTACCTATACGGGAAATGTTTTATAATTTTGATGATGAATGAGTGAGTCAGTAACAAAAATGTTTACATTGAAATTCTCCCCTCTTGAAAAGGCTTACTATTGAGGGCTCTGGGCTCATTTTTTTTACAGCGTCCTAAGCTACTCGAGCTTAATCTATATTTCAAATTTCAAAAGTTAATCTAAAGAGGAAACGGAGATACTATATGGGTTGGAAAAACTGCGTGGATTGGTTCGTGCAAAGATACACTTGCATTGCTGCAACTTGGTCTGCCGCACTGCCGTGCGCTCGGATTACACTTGATCGTTTATGAATTGCGTTCTTAATATTTGGGATTTTCCAATTTCCTGCGGGATAAAGACGAGCGTGGACGAGACTCGCGTAATTTAAGCGTGATAATTAGTAGGATACCGTTAGGCGAACCATATAATATTATAGTAAACGCGAACCGCGTTAGTTCGGAGAGATGTGTTCTCTTGGCCTGTATGTATAATGTACATGCATTACAGTGGCCGACGTCGCGTATCGATTGTTATAGTCAGAGGCGTCCGACAAATTATACAGCGTAGACCGGAGGCTACTGAACGCAATTCATCCATTTAGACGAATTCGTTACCATTTCCGACACACCGTGAATTGGCGGTTTTCCGCTAAAGTGGAATTGATTTCAACGACAAGAGATCCTGAGAGAGAGAGAGAGAGACAAAGAGAAACAATAGGCATACTTAAAATACATTACAAAATTGTTGTTTCTTTTGCGTTATCCCAAAAGTGTGTGCTTTCGTTAAACGCGGATATAGTGTGAAAAGCTCCTAAATAGTATATATATATATTTTTTTTTTCTTCAGTATAATATCAGTATTATATGCGGTATTGTTACTATTGCCGCATACTACAAACCGCAACCGTGTACTCGATTCGAATTTGGTTAGCGATACTTAAAATATTTCAGTGTAAATGAAGTCGACGTTGATATTATATTATGCACAACACGTCGGATCGGTCGTGGCAACAATTGCGTTTTCGTTTCGAGCTGAAGCTGATAATATACCTGTTAATAATACGTATGTATGTATGTGTACTTCTTTCAACTCATTAGCAATAAAAACAAATTGTACGTTTAACGATGTCGACATTACAACGTACATGGGTTCGGGACAGAAAGCAACACACCCCCATTTGGACGTGTTTCGAAATTCGTTTAACGTCTTAAGTTGATAAAATAATAGATTAATTTCAATAGAAAAAATACATAAATTATTTAAAAACGTTTTAAATTGGAATAGTGGCTGCGAGAAGGTATCGGTTTTACAATGATGCGTTTTTATTTTTATGCCAGCGATAACAGAATTTTTCATGTAACAAGTCCAATCCAAGAATAAAAGAAAAAAATGTATGACCGCCTTTTTCCTGTAAAATAAATACATATGTATAAAACGTTTTAATACAATTTTGTAACGTTATTAAAAAAATTAAGTGTAAAATGTTTAATTAATATTCGAAAGTAATAAAATATAGTTGTATGACAAATTGTGATTAAATGTTTGTAAAAGATAACGTACAAAGTATTTATAAACAGTTTGAAAAATAACGCTAAAAAAAAAACACAAAAGTTTTTTTCATACTGTTTAAATGTTATTTACAAGCATTATACATAATATAAGAGTAATACCTGCGTTGTTTTTAAAATAATAAATTTGCAATACATCACAACTGCAACATTGAAACGTTTTACACAATATGAACATAATACAATCCGCATCGCTGTGTCTTCTGTGCTTGGCATAGAAACTAAACCAAAAATAAATCGTTTAATAAGCTATCTTAATGTGTTTTTAATTCCGTTAGTTAGTATTAGAACATAATTAAATATTTTATATAGCTAAAACCGTTTAATGTCTCTCGTGTAGTATATTAATATATGTTTAAAACATTATTTTATTGCCCAGTAGTACATGGATTTTTTACTACTTATATTTTATGTTTTGTTTCTAATATTTATAGACTAATATTTTATTTATTCCAAGTACCGTCAACCCATATATACATTTTAACGGTACTGGGAACCGAGCACTATTGGATTTTTCTAATAACGTGATGGATTTCACGTCGAACATAAATTTCCGATAAAACACTTGAATAGAAAATGTAAAATTAGTTAACTTACAAATGTAAATGCCAATCGTGAGACCGACAGTATTTTGTTTATCTATTAGCGTTAATATGGTTGACCACAGCTGTCTTGTTAACGGTGGACTGTTTTTTTAATAAGTCAAAAACTGTTGTAAACAACTTGCGAATTACCTATAATAAAATATGATTGTATTTTTACTGTGGTATTGTTTTTGAACGCTCGGACCGAATCGCTTTGCTATACTATACCCTTGTGTATCAACTAGAACCATACAAATAAACATAATTTAATTAAATAACGAATAAACCGGTGATACGTTTATGCGTTGGAAATATGTAGATAAAATAAAATTTCGGTCCGGTATAGTAGTCCCTAGAGGGGCAAAAAAAAAAGAGGGGGGAATCTTATATTTATGTGTCCCCGTTGACGTCAATTTACCGTTTTGTTCGTCTGATTAATCATAACTCGAGCAAATACCGTTAAACGATTCGCATATAGTTGATGAACAAATCGGGAACCTTTGATTTTTAATTTGTTGGCATAGAAAACCATAGTAACTAAACATGGGTACACCCCAGGCAAATTCATATTTTCAAAATATAAACGAAATTGTTTTAAAAATATCTTGCGGCTTTAAATAGATTAAACTGTTTTAATGAAATTTTGGCTGTATTGTATAAAATTTAAATATTTTGATTGCAATTTTTAGGCCATTTAAATATTATAGGTTAGAGTTGATTATAGTCACTTTTTTTGTTGACATTTTTAACAATCGCAAGATATTTTTGAGGTATTTTCTAGGAAAAAGTATCTCTGTAACTATGCTAATTGGCTTTTTTTGATTGTTAGGTTAGTTTGCTTTTTATTTAACATTCAGTAAAATATGATATGATATGGTAACAGTTCTATTGTTTTTACAATTAAATAATATTTTTTAAATAGTACTGTAAGTTTAATATAAGGTATGTTTAAGTTATTTTCAATACATGAAACAAACATTATTAAACTTATACTAAACCCTTTTAAATTGGTACCTTTCTATGGTATTTAAATGTAATGTTATACAAAATAAAATTATATTTATATTTTTTGTATTTATTATGGTACATTTAATACATTGATTTTACAATAAATTGTACATTCAAGTTCATTATTCTTTGTTTGTAATTTATTTTTTTATAGTTAAATTTGACATTGAATCATATTTTATGCTTTTTATCGTTTTGCAGTCGTGGATGGACTACAAACTGAAATGGGACCCAAAGGAATATGGCGGCGTGCAAATGCTCCACGTACCTTCTGACCACATTTGGCGGCCGGACATTGTGCTGTACAACAAGTGAGTGTGCAAATTCTCTTTGCCGTCTACCAAAACATAATAATAACATAAACCCTTTCGCGTTTGGAAGTGTTTTGCGGGAGTCTATATTGTTGTTTACGACTGCCTATTTCGTGGTTTTCCGTCCAGTCACGGTGCGAAATTAATTATGGCATTACACACAACAAAAATTCCTCGTTTTAACCTAATGGGTAAATAATATCGATTAACCTTCGATAAAGTTTTTCAAGTAAACGTGTAGGTGCAGCTAGATAAACGCTTACCCCCCCCCCCTCCCCGAAAATAAACTATTGGCAACACAAACAAGTAAACTAGCAGAGTAATAATACTATATAATTTATAGTATTATTACTCTGCTAATGTACATATGCTATGTAATAATAAGGACGTTAATTTTATCATTCCTATGGTATAAATAATAAATGTGGTTCACATACAAAAATATGTTTGTTTGTTAATGCTAATTTTTTATAATATTTAAAATTTATACTTCTTACATTGGAAATGTGTATTACTTTGATAAAACAAAACTTTAGTTTTTAAAATGTTGTTCTATCTAAAATATTTTCTCTTAATCATTTGTAAGAACATTAATAATCATATATTTTTCAATTATTACTCTATGGGTAACTTACAAACAGTAAACATAATATTATTAATTAATAAATTAACTGTTAGTGGGTCGGGCCTTAGAGAATGAAGACATCGCCGACTTTTATAAGTAAAATTATTATGAAAACTTAGTATTTCTCTCCCAATATAATAATATAAAACCCAAGTTGCGCCTATACGTTTATTTTACTTCCATTTTTTTATCACCTTATAAATTACTTTTAATAATGCTACATTTATAACTCATTGTTAATACTAATTTAATAATAATAATAAGTTATATTGAAAACATGTTTTTGGTTAATGAGAACTTAATAGCAGGCATGGATGTGAACATGAAACAATTAAAACCCAGAAATGGCGCTAGAGATATGCAATTTATACATTGTATTATTTTTTTTTTTTGCAATGTACAACCCCAAAACATTTTTTTTTTTTAGTGAAACATTTGTTCATTTTTGTAAAATATACCAAACTTACTCTGAAGTAAATAACCCGACTAAAGCACAGACAGCCACTACAGTTTTTTTCTTCTGGCGCCGTTTCTGGAAAACTTAATATAAAAATTATAATTGTTATTTTATATTATTATTATCACTAACATTTTCATTAAAAATCAATTCGATCAAATCAACAGGTACTCGGTGATAATTATTCACAAAATGCAATATTGATGCGTTCCCTTATTTGTTTGCGTCGCAATTAAACGTAATTTTTTAAGACCAACTACTTACAAAAAAAAAAAACATTTTAGAAGATTTTGCTGGCAAACCATTAACCTTCGGTAATTGGTGGGTACACGGCTTATATCACACAAAAATCCTTTCTGCCCTAACAACCTTTGGGATTATAAATGATCAACTCTGAACCATTACTGACAGGAATCGATGAAAGAAAAAACAACGTTACTTTACATTGGCCGTATCTCGACGCTTGAAACTAACAAATCAGTCAGCGTTAATTCGGCGGGTATGTTTGTATTTATCACCGATGAGTTATAATTAATTCGACACGTTTGTATAATATACATATAAACTACATACTAACAAAACGTGCCTAACAAAAACAATAGACAGACGTAGCTCGTTTAACACGATTGTAGCAACAAAGACAAATCAGACATTATTAATGGAGAGGAGTTTTGTGTTTAAAATTAATCCGTGTTAATTTATACTGATTTCTAAAGGTTTGCTTTATTAACTCGCTTTTGTTAATTAAATTTAACAATTTAAAAAAAAACATCAACGTTTAAATATAGTACTTTATCCGAGCAATAGAAGTTTATCTAGATGCTGAGCATCTTTGCTTTTGCCTCAACGCAGTTTCAATATTGTTCAGAAATTAAGTTTATCGTCAACTTTTTCCATCAAACCCGAACCAACTGATCGCCGACCAAAAATAAAATATAATAATAGTTAATTTCCCAGAGGACTGTACACTGACTGTTTCAAAATTGTTGTTTATAAAATAACGTTTAAATATATTTTGATACTAGAAATATTTTTGAAATATTAAAGACATGTTTGCCGATAATAAAAAAAAAATTATATTTTTTGCATTAAACCTAAGTTGTTTAAACAATACATTATAGTTGTTTTTTTTAAAAGGGTTAATATGGGCTTTGTAGGCTGTTAGCCGCAACTATCAAGTCTTTCCAACGTTCTCTGTCTATTGCCGTCTCTTCTGGATTCTCTACTCCTATCGACTGCAGGTCTTGATGTACACGGTTACACCATCGCTGTCTCGGTCGTCCCAAGGGTCTTTTCCTATCTGGTATCCACAAGGTTTTTTATGTAATATTATCCCTTCAGACATGTCCTGCCCATCCAATTCTTTTGCTTTTCATTATTTCTATTATATCTGGATGATTGTATAATTAGATCGTCATTGGTTCTGCGCTCGTATTCGTTAGTTTCCATATTCTTTTTGGGGCCAAAAATTTGTCTTAATTCTTCTCAAATATTGCTAACTTTTTCTTATCGGTTTTTAATGACGGTCACGTCTCACAGGCATACAATTGGCCTAACAAGGAATTTGTACATGTTTTTGATAAGACTTTTGACTTGAAGAGTGGTCTCAGCATTCCAAAGCATCTGTTTGCTGCACCCACTCTTCTCTGTACCACTTCATGTCCGTCACTGGTAACATCCAGTTCCATTCCGAGATACTTAAACGTTTCCACCCTCTCAAATCTCATTTTGTCTACTACTAACTCCGTTTGATTGTGGTTCTTACGTAATAGCGTATCATGTACTTTGTTTTGTTTTCGTTAATTATTAAACCCATATCCGTACTCTTTTCTATCAGATCTAGTGCTGTCATATTGGTATATTCTTATACTCTCTATTTTTATATTGCCGATAAAACTTGTAAGGAAAAGGATTGATTGTAAAAAGAAAAAATACATAAACTACCAACTATGGAGAATCCATCGTTATACGTCATAGTTTCAGTATCAAATTCCGTTTCAGAGAAAAACAGTTGACTACACAGAAGCCCAATTAAAAATAACGTGTGCAGGTTTTCTTAATCTTATTAGTTTCGTATACAAGTTCAATTTGAAAGGAACGTGTTTTCATTAAGTAAAATTGCTTTTTGTATTTTATCGTTGCTAGAGAGGTAAATTATGCATTAAGCTTCTCTGTGCCCTAATACTACATGACATTATACATATCCTGTATCATATTATACGAGTACTGGATTTAATTCTGGTAAAATAAACAAAAAACATAATACAATTATACATTTCAACTATGCACTTATGGTAACAATGAGTAACAAGACAAATACTATATACTGATTATGTTACAACGGTTACAGCATACAGTTGACTAGATATGATAATGACCTTATGATTATTTTTCACGTTTAAATCGGAGCTCTTTGAGCAATTTTAAAGTTTACTTGTCGAGTTAGTGCAAGGCTGACAGGATACCTTTGAACTTATTGTGTGTACGATTGTTTGCTGAGCAGAGCAGATTTGCATTCACATATTATTATTATTTTAGGTCTTCTTGCATTTCGTGAAAGACATCATTCCTAATCTATTCCTGGAATATAAATCTAATAAACTCTATATTTGTTCGACTACTGCTACTACTACTAGTATTGCTTGTACTGTTAGAAAATAAAGTTGTTCTATTTATTTAATATCTAAAACTTCTCAATAAAGCAAATAATTCAATACAAAATTGATAAATTTAATAATGATATTGGGTAACTAGAATTTTCTAAATTAAATTTTTTATAATTTATTATTTTTCTATTTGGTTTTTCCTCGGGGGTAAAAAAATTTGACAACATGTTTTTAAAATTGTATTATAGTTCTATCACCAGTGTCACATTTTCAACCCTATAGTTCTACACACTGACCTCCCGAAAAACGAAATAAAAAAAAGCATCACTTCTGGTATAATAGGCCTATGAAATATTTTTGTTTTGTTTTCAATCGCAGATCGGTTTAGTTTTATATCTAAAGAATACTTAAATTGTTCAAAACTATTACATGATTGTAAAGTTAATTTCCATTGAGCTACACGTCGTACCTTAAAATATTGACAGTAGCTGTTATTATTAAGACATCTCATCGATTTGTTAATAAAACATACGCTGTTGTTTATTTTTTTTATAAATAATCTTTATTATGTCATTGTGTACAAATTATAATTTATGTAAACCGTATAAATCATTAGCGAGTGGTTGTTAGAATAGGGCAAAAACAGAGAGAGAGAGAGAGAGACGGCTTATGCGATAAAACACTGTAGAAGTTCCGGAAAACGGCTGGTGCTTGTGTAGAAGAAAAAGGAAAAAAGTCTCTTTATAGTTAGACTCGATGGATTTAAAAGGTCGTAAAATAATAGTAATAATAATTCCACTTGTCCGCTACGGCTATAAAGCACACAATCTCTTGTACGCACTGATATAAATATAATAATGTATAGTATGAGATTATATGTACGAAATAATACATAAATTTGCTTTATATAAAGTATCTTACCGAAATATAGGTATTTTTGTTGCATGAATGCCGGTTGGTCGTTAGCCAGTTTAACGTTTTGGCGCTTATAATATATTGTCGGTGACCGTTTTACCACAACTAGCTCATAGTTCAACTGTTTTTGACACTGGTGGTAGCTAAACAAAAATTCAGATATTAATGCCTAACATTACACGGTTCTTTTTTTAAAGGAACTACCGAACAAGAAACAAGTCAAACCCACTCTTAAAATACCGTAAAAAAATATTATTGCCTATTATGACATAAATTTAAAGAGCGAAATTTATTGTACAAACTAATCTTTTAAACTATTTATTTTTGTATTTTTTATGTATTTTACAAACAAGAGTTTTTTTAAAACATCTAAAGTAAATATTATACGGTTACCTAA